CAGCTCCCACTTTGTGCCTGCTTTCTGTTCACCTCTGTGGCTCTGTACCAAGTCATCAGAGAGGTCTGAGTAAAAGCTTGTCCCTTGTCTACACTGCATTCTTTAGTCACTGTGCTGTCAAAGCACAAAGGGAAGAGCACCTCTGCCTGACTGAAGAGTAATACGAATGATATTCTACATGATGCATCATACTATAAAGCTTCATACAAGGCTGCAATATATTTGATTCCGTTTAATCCTCCAAACAGCCCTCTGAAATATTTTTCCCATTGTAGACAGATGAAACTGAGGCTCGCTGTGGCAAATGACTTGAGTTTATTTAGTTGTAAATAGCACCACTGGGCCTTAAACTTGGGATTTCTGCCTTCTTTACATTACAGCTGCCTTAATTAATTAGAAATTTATATTAAGCTATAGTCATTTTGGTCATGATTTTTCGTGTATTAAATGTCAATTCTTTGTTTTGCTACGTGTTCTTATTTTGCTGTTAGCAAAAAAAATATCTCCAACTAAATCCTGTCTGGTTGGAGCTGTGGTCTTTAATCTTTCCAAAGACAATAGGCAGGATCAGACCCTCATCATAAGGTGACAGCCAACAGGGAAGCTGGGGAAATCTTCCTCCCAGGAGGTAATTGATTCCTATTAGCCTAACACTCCAAGTAGCACTGGATTAGGAGTCTCCATGAAAAGGTGTCTGCTCTTTTTCCTCTGCTTCCAAAGCCTTTATTCTGCCCATCTCCTTAGAGTTAGGGAGTTAGGGCCCCTGTTTGTGTCTTTGGGGTCAGACTTGAGCATATGGGAACAAACAAGAAAAAACGAACAGAAGAAAAACAGATGTTAAGATTACCATTATTTATGTGCTCTATGATTTAATCTAAAAAAAAAAAATCTAAGAACAACAAAATAATCATAAAGGACAAGAATTTAAAACCATGAAGTTTAGAAAACCAAAACCAGGCTTAGGACCCAGGGGAAAGTTTTAAGAAGTAAGAAGCCTGCAGCTCAGGTTCTGCTTTGACTCTTTGCCCTTGGGCAAGACATCGAACACCTGGTCTAGGCATCACTGACCCAGATTCCTGTGTCTAAGGAGGGTGTCAACTACTGGCCACTCAATTGCTAGGGCCTTCCTGGTGAGGGTATACTGCTAACCAAAACCTTAACCAGACCTTTCTCACTATTGCAGTAATGTAACTGATGTTAAAAATTGGACCTGTTGTCATTTGAGAAGCAGAGAAATGAAGTCCAAATTAAAAAGGTGTGGGACCTAAGTTTAGGGTAGATATTTCACTGAACTTCCAGGGCTGGGCACAGCACCTTGCATATAGCAGATACTCGATAAATAAATAGATGGCAGGTGTGTGAACTGATGGGTGGTCAGTCCTTCCCCAGTGGTGGTGGACTCCGTGGTGGACTCCCTGGGGGCCAGGGAACTGTGGTTGAGTCCTGATCCACACTAATGTGGTGATGGAAACAAAGTTATAAACTTCAATTTCTTCCTGTGTGAAATGGCGTTGATACTTCACACGGTTATGAGGGATAGATGAAAAAACAGTTCAGTGCCGAGCATATAGGAAGCACTCGATATCGTGGTCATGTCCTCCACTCCAAACCCTTCTCTGAGGAGCAGGGAGGCTCCAGAGGAAAGAGCTCTGCTAGTAGGAACTCCATTAGCCTTCCAGGCTACTGCCCCTGAGCCTGGGACCTCTTTCTCCTCATACCCATGCTATGTGGTCCAGGGCAGGAAGGTGAAGAGGGAAGTTAAGTGGGTCCTCTGAGCCCCAATTCTAGCCTCCTCTGCGCAGAGACCCAGTGGAATCTTGGCCCGCGCAGCTGGAAGAAGGACCCTGAGACCCGCAGCTGGGAGGGCACCAGGGCCAGGGCCTGAACGGCAGGTCAGACTACTGTCACTGTTGCTCTTTCTGCGGGAGGGCAGGGAAGCAGTGGCCGAGGTGAGAGTCCACCTTTCAGTGCAGTGTATGTGTTGACCAGGAAAGCCTCAACTCTTTTAGAATCACCGGGTCTGGAGACCCATTTGCCCCGGAAACTCGAGTAGCCTTTCGTACCATCTGAGAAAGGAGCTCTTTCTAGCAAACTGAGGGGATTCTCTTTCCAAATGACTGGTCCTGGGCTTTTCCTCCTAAAAGCAATTGTCTTCCCTTAGTTTAGCTAAAATTGATGCAGGCAAAAGTATTAGTGGGAGTGGGAGCCTCTTAGTGTATAAACATTTTTATGAAGTGCGCCTCTAGGGAGCCATGGAAAACTGACTCAGCCACAGAAATATATGCAACACTGAGAACGTTGAGAATTTGCCTTTTGCAAGGTTACAATTACTGTTGAAAAAGAGAGAAGGGCAATCAGTTCAGCCAACGAGAGCTCCTTTGACACTATTTTCAGTTGAGAAGTAGCCTCATCTTCACTAACTCCTTCCTTGCTTGAGAGATCCCAAACAAGATAAATGCAGATGCTTCACTGCCTCCTTCTGGTTACCCCCAGCCAAAATCTGGGGAGGCGGAGCAGAGGAAGAGGTCTGCGTTCAGTCAACTTTCCAGGGACAAAAATAATTATGTCAGGGAGTTATCAGGGACAAAAATAATTATGGACACTTCCCATCCTCATTCATTTCCAAAGGCAGCAGTGCCTGTATCTTGAGCAATCTTCACGGATTCATGCCTCATGTTGATCTTATCTCCTTTTTGCTTTAAGTGACTCCTTTTCCAGAGGCGGAGGCCAAAGGCATTAATCCCACTGGGGAAGAAAGAAAAATCAAAGGCAAATCACCTTGGCACTTCCTGCCTCTCCCAAAACGCCCTGGGAATGCAGCTATTGAGGGTCTTTGGGTGATTTCTCCTTAATATTTTTTGCTCTAAAAGAGCCCTCCGTGGAGCCATGAGGCAGTTCTCCATGCTTTGTCTCCTTCAAATTCCCGAGATGGAGGCAGTCCCACGTGTTTTAAACCGCGTTAGTGACAGCCAGAGACGGAAATCGCTAATTACCAAGTCCCCTTTTGATCTCCTGGAGCCTTTTGGCTCTAGACACCTCTAGTATCTCAGCGCTTTCCCGGAGCTGGAGCCGACTAGTGTGTCCGGCCCGACGTGGGGTCTCCAGTTACCGTCTACGACGAGGTCTGGATCAGATTTTTAAAAATTTCCCCAGATTCCCCGGATTTTAAATCCAGCCGCTAAGGTGGTGTGTGTGCTCCTGGAAGCTAACAAGCGCCCCTGTGCAGAGGCGTTTGATTAGTTTCAGCAACTCACTAGCCCGGCGCTTTTCTGGGGAAATGGATGATTTTAAATTTCCACGTCCACTACCTCCCTCCCTTTCTCCACCTTCTTTCGATTCGGTTGTGGGAAATGAAATTTTCTTCTCTTTGCTGGGACTATAATGTGATTCGGGATCGTTTGTGAAATGAACAAAAGTCACCGGCAAGCGGGACGATTGGGACAGAGCGCTGATGGCGGACCGGGGGGTGGGAGCAAAGGCCCGGCCTCGGAGGAAAATGGGGAGTCAGCTTCCTCTTGGTCGGGTCAAGGCCCCTTCATCTTCCAGGTAAGATGAACGGCCCTCCATGCCTCATCCACAGGCGAGCTGAGGTTCTGCGAGCTGATGAAACCTATTAGCCCCGAACTGCGCGGCTTTGTGGGGTCAAATGAGGCTGTCCATTGTGGCCTTTGTCCGCAGAATTTATTCATTTGCATAACGCATGAGCACGGAACTCTGTGCAGCATCGTGATTCCGTGTGCCCAGCCTGGCCGGGAGGGTACGTCAGCAGCTCCCTCAACCTGGCTGCTCCCTGGGACCACCCTCGCGGATGCACGGGGGTCACGGTGCAGGCGCTTGGCAAGAAACTCAGCGCCTCATCCTTCCTTGGCCACCTCTGGGCGGCTGAGCTTTAAAAGAAAGAGGCAAAATTTGAGTGGGTGAATCGAAGCTATATCCATCCATGTGACCCTGAAGCCGGAGAAATAAACTTAACCTGAATCCGGCTTTCCGGGAGAACGTTGGGGGCTTCGCGGTTTTTCACGCCGACCGTTGGGAGCCGCGCGCTCAACGGTCACTGGTGCCTCGGAGCGCAGAGGCGCCCAGGATTCGGGTCGCTGGTGCGCATGGGACCTGAACGCTCTGGGTCGCTACACCACCCACGCGCTGGCTGAAAACAAGGGGGATTCCGAGCACTTAAAAGGGAGGAGGTTCCTTGGCGTGCAGGAAGTTTAGGAAGAAGTCCGCAGGTTTTAGATGCGTGCACACTTCGCAGAGTAAATGCAGCTATTAGTTAGCCGAGGTCTCTGGGCATCCTACCTTTTAGAGGGAGGTGGTTCTCAAGAATCTCGCCCGAGGAGACTTTCCGCAGAAAACATCCTCGAAGTGCCCTGAACTTGCCGGGGTCCAGACAGGTGCAGAACCTTTCGTGCGGCCGCGCTTCGGCCTCTACTTTCCAAAAACGGCACTTAAAGGCCAGAAGTGCTTTGGTTGCCAGTGCAAGAGGGAGCGGGTCTGGACAGGATCAGGGTGCAGAACCTGGAGCCCAGAGCCCTCCCGCAGCCTTCCAAAGAGCCACGGTCCCGCGCGCGCCCAGCTGCAAGAGCCGCTGTCCACCCGCGCCCAATCAGCGCTCTCGCCGGGTCTGTGACGGCGTTCGGCTCCGCCCCCTGAACTGCGATAAAAAGCTTCGGCGAAGGCTGCACTCCAGAGCACGGCGCTCGGCCCTGCGCCCCGGGAACCTGTGCGCTCCAGGTGCGCTTCTTTGCTTGCTGCTCGCAGCACCAATCTCACTGCCCCAGCGGTCATCCCCTCAGTCCCCTGTACGGTGCGACCAAGCCAATCTGCAGGCTTCCTCCCCTTTTTTCTCTCCCTCCCTCCGCCGCAGCCGCTGTAGCCCGGGCGCTGGCCCGCTGGCCCGCAGGTGAGCAGCAGCGCAGCGCCTCTGTCCCGCGAGCTCACCTTGCCTCTCCCGGCCTGTGCTGGAGCGGTGGCCGTACCACCAAGACTCCTCCCTTTTCCTAGCAGGATGAAGACCCCAGTGCTTGAGGCGGTGTCCCTACTACTGGAGAAGCTGCTCCTCGTCTCCAACTTCAGGTTCTTCAGTTCGGGTGCCCCGGGCGAAGACAAGGCGAGGAACAGTTTCCCAGAGATCAACTCTTTTCTCCGCGGTGACGTGCTGGAGGTTCCCCGGACCCACCTGACCCACTATGGCATCTACCTGGGCGACAACCATGTCGCTCACATGATGCCCGACATCCTGGTGGCCCTGACAGACGACAAGGGGCTCACACAGAAGGTGGTTTCCAACAAGCGTCTCATCCTGGGCGTTATTGGCAGGGTGGCCAGCGTCCGCGTGGACACAGTGGAGGACTTCGCCTACGGAGCCAAAATCCTGGTAAATCACCTGGACAAGTCCCTCAACAAGAAGGCGCTGCTCAACGAGGAGGTGGCGCAGAGGGCGGAGGAGCTGTTGGGCATCACTACCTACAGCCTACTATGGAACAACTGCGAGCACTTCGTGACCTACTGCAGATTCGGCACCGCGATCAGTCCCCAGGCGGACAAGGTACGACGTGTGACTCGCCAGTGGACTCTGTGGGGAAGCCCCCTTCCATTTCTAATTTTTCCTTTCCCCTGGGATCAGGGATTGAGTTCTAGATTGAGTTACGAACTCTCTGGTGTTCTTAAGGGGAAGACCGAGTATATAAATGGCGTTGTACCTTGGAAAATATCTCAAAAGGAGCCGTG